AAAGACTGAGCAGCACATTCATGCCTGAGCATAAATGAAAGCCATCACGGTTCAGAATCTGGGCTGCACTGCTCTCGGGTAGCACCATTGTGTGTGTCAGGATTAGGTTTTTAAAGTGTGGGCTTTCAAGATTTCCACCATCCTTCCTCCAGGCTTTACAATCACTGGCAGGGGCCTCATGCTACGCTCAACCCTGACAGGAACTCCTGCTGGGACGACATGAAAAACAGTGGAGCACAAAGCAAAAATATCCTTCCTCGTACGCGCCGCTGAGTGCTGTGGATGTTGACTTTTTGAGCTGCATCGAGCATCGCTGCAGCAACAACCGGCTTCATTAAGTCCGAATCACTCCGAACACATGTTTTGTCTTTCCACTCATTGTTTTTCTTTTTACAGAACGTGTCTGCACCTTCGGTTACAAAGATGTACCTTATCGGAAACCACCGCTCACACGCCCCCACATCACTGCAGAAAGCCCGCTTAACAATGCGTGTTTGTGGACAATTAGAGGAAACTGGAGAGCATGAAGAAATCCCACATGTTCACAAAGAAAAACATACAAACAACATGCTTTTAAAAAAAGGGCCCCAGCTAAGATTTGAACCAGGAACGAGCAGTTCTGCCTCTTTATCAACTGTTTTGTCTGACTTTAGCAGTATTTTAAGATGATCCAGTTCTCTGCCCACATAAATCTTTATCAGCAATTTATATTTCAAATTGTTCAGCTCCTAATTGTTCAGCAATTTATATGTTTTTATACTTTTTGAGATGTTTAGCTGTTTTGGCCATTTTGTTTTCCTTCAAAATAGTTAAATGAGTTGTCTTAAACATCATGAAATCCTTCAAAATAGTTAAATGTTTCCTTCAATTTACACCTTTTAAACTTGTTTTGCCTTTTTAACTAATTTGTGCTAATTTTAGCTTCTTTTTTTGCTATTTCAACTATATTTTTGCTTTTTTCAGTTATTCTGCTAATTTAAGATTAGATGCTTCTTTCAGTTGCTTTTCTTAGCAATTTAAACTACTTTATCTGTTTTCAGCTAAWGTTTGACTTTTTCAGCTAAAATCACTTTTTGTGATCATTTTAGCTACTTCTTTCAGCAGCTTAATTCAGCAAATTTCTGCTTCTTTGTGCTAGATTCAGCGTTTTCAGCTACCTTTTTGACTGCTTTTCTATTTTCAGCTTTATTTTGGCTATTCTACAACAAATCGCAAATTTTTGCACATCTTGCTTTTTCCGCAAAAATCTTTCAGCATTAAATGTAAATTCTCTATTTACAGTTACATTTATGTAGCTATCACTGCTGATTGTTATTTTATTTAGAATAATTCTGTTGGTGTTTCACTGCATTTAAGTTGCATGGAAGCACAGATGCTCAAAGATGCTTTTTTGATAAATGCATCCATGTATTGTTTAACCCATAAATATAAACCAAAAAGAAACAATGGTTTTATTAAAGTTGTGCTTTTATGCTGTAAGCTGAAAATGTAGTTAAATGAAAGGTTTGTTGAGTGGAGTCATTCAGGCAGAGAAGAATCCTGCATAAAGGGCAACATAGTTAAAGTGGAAGATAATTGGCTGGAGAAACAAAAACTGCTAAGTAGGGGAAATCCAGTTTTCAGTGTCATGACTCCGGGAAGTTTGGATCCAGGAATGCAAACTTACAAGAAGAGCTCAATAAAATAAAACGTAAGTTTGCTCTTTTCTCCAAAGATGTTCCATCTGTTAAAGTATTAACTACTGATAAATGCGAGACAGAAAGTCCGTCTTTACAGATGACTACATCTTATCTTTAGTATTTCTGGTTTGCAGGGATCAAGCTTCTGCTGCTGCCCAGCTGCTCTGAGACCCATCTGGGATCAGCCCAGGAGTCGTACGGATCCCGCAGAGCCGAGACGAGATGGTGTGTTTTTAGTGAACGTTGGATCCAAACTTCAGAGACAGGCTGACCTCAGGGTCAACCCCACCCCAGAAGAAATTTCAGGATGTTAGACGGCAGGGATTAAAGACAAGGCTGTGTGGAAAGTTGCAAGAAACTACAAATCCTTAAAGGGATCCATGATTAGTTGTAACATTAGACTTTATTTGAAAAACATATGTTTTAAATGTAAAAGAAATACTGTAGGCTGTTTAGTTTTTATAATTTTTAAACTAAAAGTTTTAAAATATAGTACACAGATGGTGCCATTTTATTTACACGCAAAGCATTCTGGGTACATGATGACATGGATAGGTCACCAGTGCGA